TTGTTCGTGACCACTAGACCAAAAAGACAGTTACATATATCATCACATACTCCCAAAATGAAGGCAAAGACCTACAAAAAGCCAATTCAATTGTATAACATAACAAGCTTAAAGCAGCTGACGAAATATCCACGGTCGGCTGAGATTTAAAAACAACTGCTGTAGAAAATCTGTTAATCGTTCTAAAATGGCTTGAAACTGATATTTATAATGGATTCTTATCGCACGTTTCCCATAATCGACAAGCAAACATAAGTTTATTGAATATCAAATAATTTGCGTTCACAATATTGTCGCTGATTTATTCATACCAGTGACTTTAAATATGGTATTACAAAAGCTTTTTTTTTTTAAGGGTGGAAAATCATCGAATGACTGCTCCCGCCTGGGTGAGGCGGGAGGGAGTGTCAGACTCTTACTGACTAAAAACGACCCCGTTCCTTTTCCTGCGCTTCGAGCCGGAGCCCCGGTTACCCGTTAGGTTCTCCGCGACAATACAAAGCCTTAGAGTTCCTGTCGAAGAAGTGTATCTTGATACTCTCATAAGAACACCATAGAGAATATTTTTCCCACCATGAAGTTCTGGTTTTGGAACCAAAACCAGAACTCCATGTACAGTAGTCCCACTTTATTAACCAAGGTAGTAAAATACTTATCTGTTATCTACACGGCCGCTATCAAAATTTAACTAAAGGGTTTAACCCAATTCGATGTTTGACCAACACGGTTTATCTACATATTTAACGGGGTAACTAGTAATATCTATCTGTTTGTTTAGCCTTGACTGCAAACGGATGCTGGTAGTGTTAAAATAAACTTCTAAATATATCAAATTGTTGTTCAAGGACAAATGCATGGCGAGTATTGTACGACATGCTTCGAGTTCAATGGTCATACGTTCCAAACAAAAGCTTCACCATAGTGTATTGTTTAAAAGTTTTACAATAACGCTCGTTTGAAATTGAACCTTTAACAGTCTCTTTATAAGTTCAATTTACAACTGCATGTGGTCACAGCATACAACCCATGTCCGTAAGTTAGTACGGTTATAATGTCATAGAAACAAGGCATTAAGTCTAACTTATCACTTGGTCTTATGAAAAATTTCAAACATTTGCTAATAACAATAACTGAAAGAATAAAATATCTAGTAAAAAAAATAACCTTAAAATACAATAGTTTTAGAAGCCAATTAGTAACAGAATCTTGTAGAATTTCTCAAGGTTTCATTAACCTCAGCACACTATTGTTATTTTAAATTCTCTTGTATTAAATTGATAAATACGGTGTTTCTCGTCGATATGAAAGCAGACGGCTGAAACCTGAATTGTTGAATTGTTCATTCTTTAATAGAAGAGAAAGTTTTGTACAATACTTATTTGTAACTGAAAGTATTCCCATAGGGGCTTAGCGCTTCCAATTGTATTTTCTTTTCACTGTACGAATTTTGTAACCTAGGTAAGTATCAGTAATCAAACTCGAGCGCTTTGACCGCATAGATTAATGTTCCAATATTTCGACAGGGCAATGTCCAGAATTGGAATGTCCGAACGGAAGAACGGGTGCATAACCGGCGCCTCGACATTGATGTAATAAAAAAATGTTCAAAGTCACTCCGATATTAAATATACGAGTGATAACAAACCTCCCGGAGTTGCGTCACGGCCTGCAGCCACGAGGAATGCGCCTGAATATTTACAATGATCAAACATTTTTTGTTCATCCACCTTAAAATGGGCCTGACGGAATTTTTATTAGAAAAGTACTCATAAGTAACGCATTTGTATAGATTCAATCAATCCGGTAGTTAATCTTGAAACGTTTAACATTTCACGGTGGTTTGAACACGACCATCATTACACAGATTACATACAAATTGTATTAAATAACAGCTTGTAAAACGAAGCATCAAACGCAGTACTGACGTATGACTGTTATTCTGTGTCATAGTTCGTTTACTACCGTCTTACGAATTCTCCGTTGATTGTGCACCACAAGTGTGCCATGAGAATGATGCCCCGCGCCCTGCTGACCTACCACACGCGCTTCATATTACAACTCTCAAAGTGCATCCAAGAACAATTCAAAAATTTTAAGTCACACTGTCTGCTAAGTAAGGAATGCCTATGTATAAATAAATAATAAGCGAGCATTGAACGATGAACGAAATTGCGATTTTACATTCCAGAATATTTTATTGACCACGGCCATCACGCCATGTTGCGTGTTGGATTATTCGATCAGTGTGCAAATAGTGATTCTTACGCTACTTTCGCTTGTCACATAAAACTACGAGTTTTTCATGATCTGAAGTGGATAATTGTTAGGACTGGGTTTTATGGTCGAATAGCATAGAAATCGACTCACATCAATCGGCTATTAAAACGATTGCTGACTCACAATGTGAATCATCGATCAATCTTGATAGTTGCTGCAAATTCTAAGAATTTGTTAAGTAGATCGTTAAAGTTCACGACATTAGTATGACAAAGTGAAATTTAAAATAAAGGGAATGTGTTGCAATGAATCTGTGAATACTGAACTAAAACTTCCACACAATCATGACACACATAGTAAATAGCTATTTTGAACCAATTTAATCTCTTACGCACGTAACATTTCAACGCAAATAATAAATTCCAATACATCATACGAAAACCAGTCAATAAATTAATTAGGCTGCTTGTGAACTAACAACCCAAGCTAGTGTTGTCAATCATAATTGATATCAGACGTCAAGATGGCAAGCAATCAATTAAACAGCTGAACTAGGTCCAATTTACTGCGACAATACGAGCTGCTGACAAACTCTCGAGAATGAAATGTCGCAAGAGCCACCCACCGAGAGCGTGAGAGCCTTCGCAGAGAGCCATTGTGTCCCAACTGGTTCCCACATAAAAATATATGCAACATCCATACTGGAGCAGAATGCAGAAATCGCGAGAATTGTTAATCTTTGCGCAACGCTACACAATTTTACTATAATTGATAGAAAATTGCAACGGTCGTCATGGTGGACGTGTCAAGGTGAATACCGAGAAGCTATTAAAAAATATTTGATGTAGGACAAGTTGCAGCCAGAAGCGTGACCGAGCTGCAGCGGACAAACACGACGCCTGTATTTTAAACACAAAAATTCTTAGGTGTGCACGTTCTGATCCTAAATAAACACCGCCAGACCATCTCGACGAAATGCTATATATCAAAACAGATGGAGTCTGATGGCATAAACAGTGTTATCTTGCGGTTCTGATATTGTTGCTTGCACAAGTCATTTTCTGCTTAGTTCGGTTAAGTGGCAGATAAAGGTTCTGTCACAATCCGCAGTTTTAATCCTTACTTTCAATAACAGTTTGTTTATATCACTATCTTATTATTTGTCTCTTATCATATTTGTTGTTGCATTTAGGACAACTGTTGGTGAAATACCATGCAAACTTAAAACGCTTTTATAATTTGCTACGGAAGCAACAAGATTACTTTAATTCCAACCCAAAAGTTATTTCATGACAGTGTAACTGTATTAAATTATATTTAATCCAATTCGTGTACAGTTTCACGTTCCACGTTGTGACCGTTCTTATTTCTTACGATACGCTGTCGTTATTATTGTATATTCCAATTTGGGAAGTCCGAAACAATGACATTAATTTGTCGGTGTTATATTATGACTCAAGTACTTTACGGATTAATAAACAAGATCAAATTGTGCACTTTTAAAGATTAATGATTATAACCCTTATGCAGAAGATAATAGCGTTTAGTATCATGAAAATCAATATTATTATGATCTGGTTTCTACGATCTTAATATTATCCTCTAGTGACTGATGTAGTGTTCTGCAACGATTACCTTAACTGTTGTACTGGTAATACAGCGTAGCTCTAGGCATCCTAGAACTTCCTCTTACTTGTACGACTTAATTAACTCTTTCATTACTCTCGTTAAACTTCTATTGCAATGGTAATCTAATGATCCTAGAGGGTGTTCTGTTTTAGTTAGCTGCTAAGCTTACTAACTAACTTTAATAGTTTACTTATACAACTTAATCTTATTTTAAAAGATAATTTTGTTCCGATAATAGCAACAGCACTGATAAAAAAATCTTCCAAAAATGAAAAAGATTAAAATTACAACGGTTATAAAAACTTTAGACGTGCTAAAGGATTAATTATACAATCGGATCCTTTCTTGGAATTCACACCCGACGCCTTCTCCATTATCTTTGTAATTGGTATTTACTTGGGATTCCGTAAACAATGGTCGGGTGCAGCAAAAGGGATGAATATAGATTCCATATTTTCATAACGGGTTCCAAACAACCCAGCCTAAAACGATTAGCCAAAAAAACTTAGCCGCCGCCGTAGTCCACGTCTCGTTCCGAAAGGGTATCAGTGCATTGCAAGATAGAACATTTTGGATCAAAATGATTCAACCAAAAGGAACTAAAGTTTTGCCACAAATGGATGAGTCATCCAAAGATTTTCATCGCTTGGTCACTTGGTGGTAAAATAACATTTTAATACGAAGAAAGTTAATGATGGTGAGACAATAAAAGAGAATTCACAACTTCCACAAAACAAAAGGAAAAATATGTATAGGCATGTGAGTACAGTAGAAAATCATACCATTGATGATGTCAATGTAAACATTGCTAGCACACTCATCACAAGTGCATTTATTGTGAATGTTTTTTAGTAATAGGTACCTTGTAATAATTTGTAAGTGCAATTATCCTAGACATAAAATTAGTTAATATTTACATAACAAACAAAAACATTTTAGTGATTCAAACCAAATTAAAGGCCAACTTGAAAGCCAAGGTTTCATGAATACTTTAGGAAATATTAAAACTTCCTTAAGTATTTCTAAATAAAACTGTAGCATCGTGAAATCGGTTGCGGCTTCTCAATCACATTTTACGCTCAACAACGAAATCACAATAGGCCATTAACTTGATGCAAGTTTAACATAGAATGCGAGATTACTTGGAGACTCACCTGATAGTAAACTTCCAAAATTAGAGTACACTGATTACAGAGCCCTCTCAGGGGCAATCACACATAAAAAAACTCCATAGCACATTGCACATAAATAAAAAGTAACGTCACAAGCACAGCGTTTATACCAATATGTATCGATCGTACGCGCGCGGTACTTCGAGCGTCGCGACACGAGAGTCGCGCGCGGAGGTTCGGCGCGAAATGCCTCTGAACGCGGTCTCACCTCCCGCCGACGGCTACAGCCTGATGCTGCGCATACGACGCTATGCATACACACTTTCAGCTTAATAGCTGCATCGAAAATATAATGTCTCCCATGCTTCCTTGAGAATATTTCTGATATTTTAAAGTCATTATTGATGTCGATGTATTCAAGTAACTTTTATTTATTTAACGATAATAAAATAAGATATCTAGAGCAAAGTATTAACTCAGCTTAAAATCCATTAGCGATTACATGAACAGCAAATAGGTAATATTGATAAAGTCAATGCAAAAACTCAATCAATGAATGCTTTGCAAATAATAATTTTAAATACAACACGTGCAGTATTGCCCTATCCCTGAATCAAAATAACAATATATTTAATTGTTGTGATTGTTAGAGTATTGTTTAAATGGCAGTAATTATACAAACTGCGATCACGTGGTGCGATAAAGACGAAGGCGCGACGCGTGCGCACGCGACTTCCCCTTAACAATAAAATTAAATAATTAATCATAGGTATACCTAGACGGTATAGGTCTCGTGAACTGCAAAAAATTTTACCGTCATTACTTGAGCTGGGTGCTGTAAACGTATTAAAAGCTTTTGATAAGGTGATTAAGCAGGTACTTATAATACATCTTCTATGTAAACAGAATATAAACTCAGATAGTAATGTAACGATCATAATAAACTATTTTGCATCGAAATAAGGACTCAATTTTAATCGTAAAATCAAATAATTAGTTACGTACTTATTGGTGCTCCCAGGGGACAGTAATAGGACCATTCTATTTTTTCGCTAAGTCATTTACTTTTTTTAAATAAGAACCAATCTCTTAAGTTCTTTATAGTATGTGCAACAATTTCCATAAGTAACCCAATATCTGTTACATTGTTTACATTTTCATATCATTTTATTCCTCCTACATGAACACGACGAGGCATCACATAACAAAAGTTTGAACCAAGTTGGTCATAAATCATATTATGCATGATACCAACAATACTATTTTTTGTTTTCAATGGTTTCCCCTTCCCCAATCTCCCCAATTCCTGAATCCCCAACAATCCTCAAACTCCTAATCCCCAAAAGGCCGGTAACGGACTTGTAACGCCTCTGGTGTTTCAGGTGTCCATGTGCGATGCCGATTGCTTACCATCAGGTGATTCGTCTGCTCGTTTACCGGCTTATGACACAAATAAAAAACCTTGAATTTTTTGTTTGATTCTACATACCTGCAATGGAGTACTATCGGACTTCGTACTTGAAGGGATGTTTACAAAGTGACTCGTAGAACGTAGAAACCTATCAATATCCGTGATTGAGTTCACACTACTAAATATCTTAGACTGACTCACTAAAACATACATACATACAGAATGGCAATTTTCCACCATCTTTTATGGCACTCACGTAACCATTTCCCAAAGTACTAAAGTATGAGTCATTAATGTTTTCTGAGCGAGTTGGTATTGGTACGCATAGGTACGGAACCAGAGAGCTAAATAAACAATCACTGATGTCATGTAATAGGTAAGTTTTTACTGGTAATTTTTAGATAAGGCTTTGTTTTGTTTAGAAGAATTGAAAGTCAAGGTTAAATAGTTTGAAAAACCTTTCAACTGCAGGGTCATGAGCGTAAATATAAAACTGTAAATGTATTTTTCTCGAAGACATTTATGTTATCGTGAATACCTATTTATTTTGCATTACAGATAAGTTTGTTGGAGCAATGGACCTATAGTTATAGATGTATATGTTATGTAATTTGAATGCATATCATAACAATTCCCATTAAACATGAACTAATACTGTCTCAGTGAATTCTTCAATAACGGAAACGAGCCAATTCTTGTAAGTTGCGAAATAGGATTCACATGAAAACATATGATCCAGCTGTTCAAATAATTTCATCACGAGCCCACCCAAGAGTACTCCTCAAACAATGGCCTCCTTCAAACAATACGGTGGTATGCTGAAACTGCGCCACTGAAGCGTGCGCGAGCGCCGGAAGCACGGCCGGATACATCGCCATCTTGCGATTGAAACTTGAACTTGTAATGCACTATGATGTAACCAACTGTCTGATATCTGATCATTTGAATATTTTTGGATTAGACCAAATTAGTTTTGTTTAGCTGATCCTTTTTGGATGACAAAAACTTTAACCTCTAAATAAACCTGAAACGCTGTACAAAAACTAAGTATCTACTTAGGTATCAGACACTTTATAATTAACTGCGCAAAATGTCAAGAAATCGATTCTCAAACAGAAATAAATATGCGATATTTGTAAAAGATTCCAAGACACATGATGACGAAAGATCGTGAATGATTTTACAAAAACAAAACTTAACCAAGGCTTGACTCAAAAAACATGACCTCTCTCAACAAGGGTCATTAATCCGTTTACATCTCAATAAACTCGTCAGACACACCAGCATGCTGTCAGCACTCAGCACGCATCGTGGTAGAGCGGCGCCCGCGCAGACACCGTCACCCCGACCGAGGCTGAGCGCTGATTCACCGTCACGCAACATCGTGACGCCACGGACGAAATAAAAGGGATCCAGAACGATCACTGTACTCTAGAACAAAAAGTACTCATTTTCCTTCTTTACCACGGAAGGAAAATGAGTACGTACTTACTTACGGTTTGTTATGATCGTCGATCATTATAGTTTAATAGTTCTTGTTTTAAGAAACAGGGTAATAGATGCTTCAGTAGAAGAACTGACTAGACTAACTTAGTAGTTTATTAGATATGTTCTGGGTGAAACATGGGTGGGAAGATGAACAGAGTAGCGGGGAACTCTTGTGTTCTAGATGTAAACTATCAATATAAGGTTCATATTGGTTGTAAAAATAGAATAAAAGTAATATTAAAATATAAAAAGATAGTTATAATGTCTCTATTGGTAGGTGCTGAAGTTCGTACAATACCAGTGTGTCCTTTCGACCTAAGTGAGAATCAATAGTTACTATTTTGGTACAGGAAAACTTCAAATGACCTAGAAACTGGATTTGTATTTATCTCAAAGAATTCATAAAAAGTCTTTTGTTTGAAGACTATATGTGGCTATAAATAGGTTAAGCCAACAAAAGTAGGAAACAATGTTCGTGTATTTCCAATGAAACAAAATAATCTACTACATATTTCTATTGGCGAAGGCAAAGATTTTATACTACCGATAAAGACGTATCTACGGATCACCAAAAGTACCGTAAGAAAATAAAATATACTTCTCCGAAAGCATCCTTAAAACCTCTTTATTTAAACAAAGTAACATACACGAACTGAGACGAAATAGAAGCCAATTGTGATTGTGATGCTAAAACAATACAGACAAGTAACTACACAAGAATTCCTAATTCGTACCTCCAGCTCAGACGGATACGGTTGTTAACTGCGGACATAGCGCAGTAACAGTGGATACGACACACGATGACACAGAGACATGTGTATCCGTAGCCACAATCACATGCGCCTCAACGTGTTCCATAAATAACACTATTACAACTAAAATAGATGCAAATTACCCACTAACACACTGCTCATTTTTCCTAGTTGCAGGTTTCCGGACAGATAATAGTGTAGCAGATAACTAATTAACTGATATTGATGCAGACACGTATGTTTTGTATTAACCCAACGATGATAAATGCTTTGAACACCGATTTATTGTAATGACAGACGAATTGAACGATACCGTCGATTTATTTAAATGACTAGCAACGTTAGATATGTTTAATTACATATTATCAATAGATTTTTTGCATAAAAGAAATAAAATATTCAAATAAAAAATCTCACAAAAATAAATTGCTAACAAAGTATCTCACAATAGTTAATCAACATACGCAAAACAGTACCAAAAGTAAATATTATCCAACAGTTTTTGTAAAGAAGAAAAACATAATTTTTCACTAAAATTATTTTGTTTGTAAGAAAAGAAGATTGTCAAAGACAATGCAGACGAGGTCGTTGACAAAAAAATGGCGACCACAAAAAAACTATTACGTGGTTATTACTTGTTATTCTCTTTGAATTTGGGAATGCGAAAAAACGTTAATTACGGTAATACTGTGTTTTGTAAAATAAGTAAATTAGCGGTACAATCCAAAATCATTACTCGTCGAAAACGCAGAAACGAATCGTACGTTTACAAAAAAATGTCTTGCGGTTAACAGAAGATTGTATCCTAGTAACCTTTACTAATCTTAATGACAGTCAAGATGGAAGACCCTTTCCCAATGAATAACAATGCATGTGCTTTGTATAACATCACATATCCCGCATTTATTCGTTATTCGATTCTACTCGTGGCGCATCACTCAGCAGCCAGTCGCCCAGTCACTGTAGGTATCAATTGCACGGTCAATCTCGGAGCACGATGATAATAATGAAAAAATATACATAAGTGCATAGAGCTCAATTAATACCTACCGTGGTTCTCCATTCAATATTATCTCATCATCACAAGTTTTGTTTTAGTTAAAGTTAATGATATTTTTGTTTTCAGTAGTGTTTACATTAACCTTGCCACTGTTTGTGCGCACATTATATCATTCGTCACACCTCAGCTATGAGTAAATGAGCGAAACATGGTCTCTGAAGTGTGACGGTTGATGAGCATACACCGCACACGAAGATAAACGTACAATGTAAAAACTAAGTACGTTTTAATAAGAACGATCTTTAAAGAAATATGGAACTTAGGGAAGTAGGTAATGCTGTAGTAATAAATGCGGGACCGCTGCAATAAAAACTTAAGCAAACAATGTCTTGAACACATCTGTTGACCACGAGTTCGCCCTTTTATGTAAGTACGTTAGTTATTGAGTGTAACAACTTCCAAATTGTCAGTGTTAAAAAGATTATAGAAACGACGACACAGTTACCTGTAAACAACAGTCACCATCAACCGGCCAGATATAATCAAGTAACTACATTTTAGATAAACCTGCAATGGAAAAACTCCTTTGAGAAAGATGATATCAA